GTCCAACGAGGCGTTCTGGGGCAGCATAGACAGGTCTTCCATACTTTGAGGGTTTGTGACTCTGCACACCGTGACATGGGACCTTTAATAATAATAATACATGTTATTTATATAGCGCTTTTCCTGGTGCTCAAAGCGCTTAAAGATCTTTAAAGTTTAGATCTGTATGAGGTTGGAGTAACATCAGGGATTTAAAACCAAAAACAGAATGCTCTCACACATCAAACTGAAATAGAAGTACTTGCAGAAGAAGTCACTGCTGGTGGATCCAATGTGTTTAAGGGTGTTAGCATTTAACGAGATCTATCATTGAATTGCTGTTTAAATTACACATGATCAACTTAACAAGCCAATAATTATATTTTTCTACATTTTTGTTAATTTATACTTTACGTAAACACATTTATTTGCACACTGAGGCTATCTGTGAACTAAGTTGATGAATAATAATGAATTAAATTGTTATAAATTGCAAAAATAATATTAAATATGTGATTTAGAAACAAACTTTAGAATTGGAAATAAAGCAGAGAAGATGTAGAAGTTAATTATATAAGAATAATGCATATCAGTTATTTTATTGCATTCATTTTAGACAGTAAAGTGAATGTCCCGTGATTCAAAGATGATAAAAAGGTGACGCTTTCGTTGCTGATTTCCAATAACTCCAGTGTATCAGTGAATCACAATGGGAGATGAATGTCAGTGAGCTGTGCTGTTTGTCACTGTCTCTGCAACACGATCTGGATCAGTTTTAGGATTACATCATCAATAAATGTCCTCTCATTAAACAAATGAATGAACCCTGTGCGATGCTGGAGAGAAAAGCATGCGAGGTGTATTTTAGGAGCATTGTCATTTGCTCTCTCACACATGAGGAGCAGTGGGATGTGATTGGTCGAGAATGACACCTGAGCAGCACACAGGGACCATTAAAGGACGCTGATTGGCTGTTGGAAATGTGCTGTTCAAGGGCACTACTAGTGTAGCAGACTTGAATAGAGCTGCTTTTGTGTAAATATGCCAGATATACAGCCAAGGGGGG